TTCTTTAGCCTAATTCAGCAAAATAGTTGAGCAAATTAGTAACTGTGAGGACAGGAAGGTCAATGAGTCTACTTAAATAAGGTAGGTGGTTAAGTACCATCCTGAATCAGAGGATTTTTTCTGATTGTGTGATATATGCTGCTACGTTAGTAATTGAAGATGTGTTCCCAGAAAAGCAAACAGTTTCATCCTATCTGGACCACATACTTTGTGTATTAAAAGGAGAACTGTAATTTCTTGTATTGAGAATGACTCTTTGTAGTAAAAACCAGGATACTGAAAAGGTTTTGGTCCAACTGCTAATTTGGCAAGATGCTATGAATAGACTTATTCTGCTTTAGTTGCACAACTTCAATTACGGTGTAGTATACATTAAATGCTTGTGCAAGGAAAGGCTATTAACTATAGAATATAAAAAAACAAATTCAGAAGAAAATCAAAGCTTATAATTTGCAATCTTGCAATGGTGTACTGTTTTCTTAAATACACAATAGTGTATTTAACAGAATTGTCACAAATTTGTTGATCTTCACAATACCCCATTCTTTTTATGATTATCGCTAAAAGTTTACTGTTGGTGGTTTAATCTTAATGATCGTGGCGTTTTATTTGCTTATGGAGAAAAAACTACATTTATTTACTCTGATACATTAGTTAATTCTACATATACATAGAACTGAGCTCTGGAAATTGTGGAAATAAAACTTGGAAATAGACATGAAGGTTACATAAGAGAAAAATTTATAATTGATTTTTTACAGCAGTGGGAAAAGCAATAACAGTTTTTGACCATTAGTTATTGGTGCTTAGCTTTAAGTATGCTTTGGCATTCATAATGTGAAGCGATAAGACCTTTGCTTACATCAGTAGCTTTTTTCTAATGTTAATGTTGTGAAAAAAGAGTTTATGGGAGAAAGTAGTAGAACAGATACAAGTAGAGCATTTTACGTTCTGGAAAAACATGGATTTTAAACGCTAAGTCTGAAAAATGTTTAGATTAGTTCCAACATAGGAAACATGTAGAAAAGAATCAGTTCTGTTGATTGTCATATCTTCTTCCAAATCTTTTAAAGCTGAATAAAGTTTGAATATCCCATCACGTATAACCTCATTTCATACAACAAATGCATTAAAATGCATGTAAAAGTTTGTTCAACAGACGAGGAATGAGTTCTTAAGGAGGCTGTATTGTGTTATTTTGTTGTTGTTGTCAGTTTCTTTAATTGTGGATTGATTTTTTTTTTTTGTGTGTGTGTGTATACCTTAATTTTGATAAGTCCCTGGTACTACAGATAGTGTAAAACTAGAATTAAATCACCTGTGCAAGACAATAAAAGGATAATATTTTATAATTTTAAGAAAGAATAGTTTCTATAAGGAAAAATTAGCCTTAGCTGTAACAGCAAATTTCTGTGTACATCACTGGAAACTAGGATTTTCAGTCTTCAACTGAAACATTTGTGTTTATAGGATGCATGCAAAGAACTGAAACGTTAGTGTGCTTTATAACATATTGCATAAAACAATCAATTTCAGTTAAAAAAAATTACCATAATAAAATGCAAGAATTCTAAAACTATAATAAAGTTAATACATACAGTGTAATTTAGTCAAGAACAAGAAATAGGAAAGTATGAGATTTTACCCTGAAGCAGCTTTCTGGCTGTACATCTCTACTGTTCAGCTGTTTGTCCTAGAAGAAGAGTAAGATTCTATTTATATATATATATATTTTTTTACACTACTTTATAACTAGTTGTTTTGGTGCTATGGCTTTGTATTTTAGAGAAAGTACTTTTTAAAGTTTTATAACTGAAAAATATGGGAATTCCTAGGATAACAGTATCAAGTTAAGTGTAACTCTTGACATTGCATGAAATGTTAGTGTTTTCAGGGTTATGGCATTTCTTTAACGACATGGTTCTTTCCTTTGAAAACAAACCTTGCGCCAAAATTTAATAGAAAAAACAACAAAACTTTAGGTAGAACTCAACATTGTTCCTAATAGTTCCAGGCATATTGTGCTAAATACTGTTTCAGGATAAAACATACAACTCAAATTTCACTTGACTGCATCCATGGTAGAGGAATAGAACTCCTTTATTTTTCTTGGTGAGACTGTCACATGGTCAGGTATTGTGTGTTCACTGGAGAAACCTGTTTATGTACTGCTTTTACCTTTTTAGTGTAAGGAGAGAGAAAAGCTAGGAAAGAGGAGCTTTGTCTCTTCCCTTGGGCAGTATATTATATGCTGCAAATGTGTTTGGTATAAGGTGTTAATTAAAGATCCAACTGAACTGATGAAAGGTATTTTCTCCTCTTCCGTATCCAAGAGAATAATTTTCCCCTGTCCTTAGTGAGTCGGTGTCTGCATTGCCCTTTGGCAGTCACTTAAATCCTTAGCTGACTGAAATGTCCTCATTTGCTTTATTTTTCTCAGTCTACAGATAATATTCTTATTTTTCTGAAATTTTAATACCACTCTAAGAAATGTTTTGCTGAAGGAAAAGGAATCACAAAGCATTGTTTCACTTGGGTAATGGGAACTGAACGCATCATTTTCTTCATGAATTCTGCATGTTTTTCCATAAGATAATGGTTTTAATTTATTTACGAGGATGCCATCCCTGTAGAAATAGCTGATAACAGATACAGAGGTGTTTAAATCTTCGATTTTGTGCAGTTAATCGATGAGAAATAATTGTAGATGAGGCAATTAATAATAGAAATAACTGTAATTAAGATTTCTTAGAAGTCTTTTTAAGAGTTGCTCAGTTTCTTAGTGTTTGTACTGCTATGTACCTATCCTTGCTTCCATGTATAATGTGTTGTGACATGTTGAATGCTATATATTTCTGATGATTTTTCTTTAGGAATTTGACTGAGCACAGTAACTGTAGCACTTGTGCATGTGAAATCAAATTTATAAAATTAAAACGTAATTAGGATGTAATCTCTTTCATATAAATTCTGGGTAATATTAGTGTGACATAAGTTTTACTTCTACTCTTTCTAAGTTATGAGTTGTCTTGCTAAAGAGTATTAAAAAAATCTTTGTTTAATCCTTGCAGTTGGATCTTTGGGGACAGCAAATAGCAGGGGATTAAAGAAAAGAGTACAGCAAGAATTTGTTAGGAAAATCTATAACAGAAGGATTAAGTAACTGTCCCTAATGAGGCATCTGAATGTATCTTTTTTGGCTGAAAGACAGAAAAAATTGTAATGTAGCTTTAGTCACTGGGACCTGCAGGGTCAGCTGAGTACTGGCGTTTAAAATGTTATGTCACTGGAAATGCTATTGCATAGGTTCTATTCTTTGTCCCATTACTGTTTGCTTAATAAATTGCAAGAGAATTTGGGTGTGATAATCTCTGTCTCAAACTAAATGCAGTGCAGACAACTAAACTTCCTGATCTCCTGAAGCATCTGAGCTTTTCTCTAAGTCTGTTTACAATCCTCTGTTGCCTGCAGAAAGAGATTTCTTAAAACTCGCAGAAAGACAACAGAATTAAAAAAAAAAAAAAAAGCAAAACAACAGTATGCTGAAAATGATAAAACCTTCTAAATGGGAAGAATGACTATGAACAGGCAGTGAGGCAGGAACTAGCACATCAAAGAATTTAAACTAGTTTTAAATGTTTGCTGTTTTGATGTGTTGATAATACAGCATGAAACTGAGTTATGTTTTAGTTGACAAAGCATATGGCTGCACTGTCAGATGGAAACATCATCAAGAGACTTAGTGAAGCATTATCCAGTGATCTTCAGATAATCTCTTAAATAAAGAAAAAATTTGGAGTATGTTGATAAGAACTTTGTATTTTAAAGAGTATCCTGATTATTTACTACCAACTAACATTAACTTTAAAGTCATTTGAGGCATAGCAGAGGTAATTATATTATTGCGCCATGAGAATGCAATACAAAATGTTTATCCAAATATATTTTTTCTTGATCCGTCTTTATGCATAGCTCCTGTTGCTAGAATGCAAGTGACTCTTCTGCTTGCTTTTAATACCATACCACATTCTAAATTTACTATTGCCAGCGAATGCAGTTCTTAGTCCGAATTAGTTTTATAACTGCATCTTTTTCTTAAAGATAGTGTTACTACTGTGCAGGGGAAGTTACTGTGGTAATCCTTCAAGTTTCTGAATTAACATTCTTAGTCTGAGTTCATATGCTTATTATCAGTTACTAACAATGATTAAACATTGGTGGTAAATGCAATTGTGCACCACCAAAAGCTCTAGGAACCTGATTCCATGTGCTTTCCCAATTTAATTGAGAAATAATTTTTTTCCATGTAATCTGTGCACATCAAAGAAATTGAGTTTTTAAGTAAAAAAAAAAAAAAAGAAAGCTTTTTATTTTATGCAACATACAGAAGAAAAATTGTAATAGATTCAGCTGCCAAAAAATTCTGTTACAAGCAGTATACAGTCTTGACTGTGTCACAGTGCTCGTTTAGCCATCAGTGTCTTTCCAACTTCGTATTACTATTGTCAGCTTGGACTGTGGCTATTTCTGTGTTAAATCATACCTGAGTATTACTGAAATCCTCGGGGAGATGTTCACTAGCTAAGATGTTCTGTAAGCATCTATACTGCAGGTCATCAGAATGTCTCTAGACCACCAAAGGTGGTAAGCATTAATTTCATTATATGCTATAAAAGATGTCCTTGAACCCTTATTCCACAGATACTTGCTTTTGTTGTGTTTGTGAACTCCAATTTATGATAGAATTTGACTTTCTCCAGGCAGGATAGTTAAAAGACAATGCAGATAGGGCACAAATAATTATCTTAGCAATTGCTAGAGGAACTTTGCTGTCTGAACATGCTCAGAAAGAAGTCTGCTTTTATACGGTCTTTGATAAAGACAAGGCCTTCATGATGGTAGGGCAGTGAATTTTTTTTTTTTTTTTTTCAGTCAGCTAAGTCATATGAAAATCAAATTACTTGTCAAGAAGGTAACACTTTTTTTTGTTTTCTTTTCAGAAACTGCCACCTGTTAGACCATGAAGCACAAGCAGTATCAGAAGAAAATTCCAAAGTAGCCATGCTCTGAGAGTATTTTGTCCTGAACTGAGTAACACTCAAGTAAGAAAATATCCTTTCATCTCAGTCTGTCCTTCTAAATTAAGAAATAACCCTGCTTCCCCCAAATAATTTTGAGCAGACCTGAATAGAAATAATCAAGGTAGCCCATGTTTTAAGGGAAGGTCCTTAGATGAAGCAGTACACAAAACACTGCAAAGGCCGTGAGACGTCTGATGTCCATTCTTGCCTCAAGCTCTCAGGTTTGTAAGCTGCTTTGAGTGCAAAGCCTGGCCTTGTTCTTGTACTGCAGCTGTATTTGTCCATCCTGGCTGTCCTTGATGTTCAAGTGTAGGAGCGAGGCAAGTGCTAACTCCACTGATAGAGTCCTCTTCAGTCTCTTCTTGGAAGGCCCGTGTGGGATGTCCTGTGAAGTGTAAGGGGTCCCTATCCCAGTATCGTGCTGTGCTATGTGTTAGAGAGTGATGTCACGGGGCCATTAGTGTAGGGAAAATTGAGCTGTAGAGGAATAGCCTTTGGAATCCCTGCTGTAGTTGAAACAGACAAGATGTTCTGCCATCATTGATTCAGATCCAGTAAATGTTGTGAGTCCAAGATTTTAATGATAGATTTGTATTTTAAGTGTGGTATAGTGAATTATTGAGAAGTTGAATTGATTTTGTTGTTTTGCTTTTCCTCTGAATTTTGCCCAGATGTTATCTGAATGAGGAAGAAACCATTTAAAAGAAAAATCTTTACAAGCAATTATGCATGCTGATGCAATCTACATAGCATACAGAAGATTATGGTAATGTAGTTTATATTTGATTTTCACAACCCCCTGAAATACAAGGGTTAATTATCTGTGCAACTGTGGCATGTGGGTTAATTTGAACAGATTAGATTACCATGATTAGCAATGCCTGGGGAACAGTATAAAATGATTCCCTGTCTAAACTGGTTTGCTGCTGCTAGAATGAAAACAACCTATGCAGAAAAATCAAATGTTCTTCACTGAGGGAAGAAAATATAATGTAAGATTTTGGGCTTATCTTTTATATGTCTAATTTATCCAAACTAAAACAATTTCTAGATTTGTAATGAACTCAGAAAATGTAGCTGAAACCTTGAGTCGCTGCAGATGAATGGACTATCTGCAATATCATGCTTTTGAATTACACATATGAGGAGTTGAAGATGCTTTTTTTCGTTTGTTTCCTTTTTGAAATTTTGAAATAGCTTAATTTCTCGTCAGGTTCTACTTTTATTTCAAGTAAATCTATTGATAATTTGTCTGTAGCATGTAAATGTTTGTTACTTATGGGCGTATATTTATATATGCCTTTATACTTGTCAGTGATAATTTTTTTTCCTGCAGTAATCCATACATCCATACCACTGAAGAATTCTGGTAAAAACTTTTTTTAACAAGACTGAAAGATTAACAAAATACAGAAAGTATTCTTAACAAATATTTTCTGATTTTTTTTTTTCCATAGCTGTGATTATGGCAATCTGTTCAAATTCAGCTTTAAATACATAAAGTAGCTTTATAGGGGGAAAGAGAAATTTTTCTCGTATGTTTGAATTTAGTCAGCTAATTCACCCACCACTTTTTCCTTTCCATTCCATCTTTCCAGATCATTACTGCCAGTGAGTTGGCATATGATGATTGTGAATTTCTGCCACCCAGATCATGAGCAGCACATGATGGTATTTGGATTTTGGGATAATTGATTGTTATTCAGGTCGTTATATACCAGCTTCAAGCACAGCTAATTCCCTCAGGTACTGATTACTTCTTTCTATGGAGTTGAATCCACATGATGAGCAGTCACTGGTGCTGTTTCCCAGGGGTCAGTACTGGGGCCAACCCTTGTCTGATATCTTTATTGGTGATCTGAATGAGGGAATTGAATTCAGCCTCGCTAAGTCTATGGATGATGCTAAGTTGGAAGAAAGGGTTAATCTGCCTGAGGGTAGGAAGGCCTTACAGACAGGTCTGCATAGGCTGGATCAATGGGCTGAGGCAAATTGTGTGAGCTTTAATAAGTCCAAGTGCCGAGTCTTCTACTTTGGTTACAGCAAAGCTGTTTTTCACCTGAAAACGAATCATAGCTCCGTATCAGATGCTATGAAGAAATCAAATGTTATTTATCCCAGCTGAAACCAGCACATGAGGTTTGTAAGGTTGAGTTACTTATAGAAAATTAACTTAAATTTGTTTAGGCTGTGTGTATGGCACTTCTTAGACTGTTTGTGATGTGAGTTGAAAATATGTTCTTCACCAGGTTCTGGCTTCAGTTACTGCTAGCAGTTTGTAATGGGTTGAAGCAACTACCAGACCCCATAGAAACAATAGCATGATATATAATGTGAATGCTTTATTGTGTCTCCATTGTCCAAAACTTTGGAGGTGTTGTATTCATGTGAGTGCTGCTTCAATATGTGTTTGTTTTATCTTTATACTAAGGCAACCTGCAAGGTTGTAATTTATCCAAGTAATCTCAAGGTCTTTGAAAATACCCTTTTCTTTCCTATTACTTTGCACGGTTTGTTGAGTTTCTTAAACATTTGCAAAATTACTGGATGGTAAATCTTTTATTACTCTAGCAAAATCCTACATTAATAATTTATTTTCTTTAACAAAAAAGGTCAAACATAAAGTAACACTTCCAAGCTTTTTTTTTTTTTTTGTTGGTCCAACTATGCTAAAATAATGAAGGATGTTAAGAGAAGCCCCTTTCCATAAGGTATTCCTTGCTATAACACTTTCAGCTGTTTTTGGTTCATTCTTGACAAAATTTTGAGTAATTCTGAACTTGTGACATGCTCAAACAAATATTTATGCTTCTACTGCATTTTTAAAGACCAGAGTCTTTTTACTTAAATCAGATTTGTTTTCATTTTATGGAGTCTTTTGCAGGTTGTAAGATACATTGTTTCTCAAGAGGGGAAAAATACCTCTTTGTGTTTGCAATGACTTTGTTCAGCTGAAAAAAAAAAATAGATGGAGTATAGCATTCTATGTTCATCACTATATCTCTTTTATAAGTTCTAGTACTTGCAATAGATTTATTTTCTACTAGGCCTGGAACTGGAAACTACGTAATATATAACAAAATCCCAGTTTTTTTTTTTTCCCTGTTACTCTAACAGCAACAAAAGCGTGGCTATTTTGGTTTGAAATATAAACAACGTACAATTTTGGATTTTCAGCAGGTACTCAACTGGAACTTCTGCAAGTGAAATAGCATGAGTGAAACACATAGCTGCTGACTCTACTGCAGACTGCTCCTTTTATGAGTCATTTATATCCCCCTGCTTTTTTTTTTGCTTTTTTTTTTTTTTTTTTTTTTTGTGAGTGATTTGTGCTGACTTTATGGCAAAAGAATTACTTTTTCTTTGCCTTGTAATTTTTGAGGTCCAGCCAGGCATATGGAAAATTGGCCATAGAGTATGAGTAGTGTAGGGGAACTGTTAGGTCATGGCTTGAACTGTTGATTGAGCACCTGGTGAAGGGGTGTGGATGGCCCAGGGAGCACGGGCAAATTGTTTTGCTCCCCAGGTGACTACAAGGGATGGAGCCACACTGGGCTCATGTAAGGGCTGGCCACTGAAAGGAGAGCATCTCTTGGACCTAGGGTGGCTTCCTGAGAAGGAGTGCTGCATAGTCAGATATCTACTTCACTGCTTAGGTGAGTTCACATCTGTTATTTCAATATCTGACTACTGGCCTACCTCTGAATACTTTGCCTGGACTGCCACAAACCTGTCAGAAGCAGTTTTGCTTCTTCATGAGCAGAATTTTTAGATTCATTATACAGACATACAGACGTACCCAGAATACATAGGGTATTACGTTTGCCCTATGTCTGCAGTGTGCAGGTGATCTTCTGGAAGTCACAAGCTGAAATAAAGAAGTCCAGCGTAGAGACTCAAATGTTAAAATAGGTGAAGGTGAGAATATGCCACATACAAAGTGATTGGCAGTGGTTTTGAATGGCTGGAGTATATATACATTTTCTTTATCTATGCTAATATATATATTTTTCTGCATTATTTTTATGCTTTGTTTCCAAGGATGAGAAAGTGACCTGTTATAAATTCCTGCATTTAGTAGTCAGAGCTGCATGTTTTGGACCACAGTCAAGGATTTCAAGATATTATCTTCTATTCTCTTTGGCCAACCATTCCCTTTTTCGTCTTAGTTCATCCCCATATTGAAACAGTCACAGAATGGCCAGGGTTGGAAGGGACCTCAAGGATCATAACACTCCAACCCCCCTGTCACATGCAGGGCCACCAACCCCCTCATTTAATACTAGACCAGACTGCCCAGGGCCCAATTCAATCTGGCCTTGAACACCTCCAGGAGTGGGACATCCACAACCTCTCTGGGCAGCCTGTTCCAGCACCTCACCGCCCTCATAGTAAAGAACTTCCCCCCGACATCCAACCTAACATCTCCCTCAACTTAAAACCATTTCCCCTTGTCCTTCAATTAACTACCTTTTCAAAGAGTTGACTCCCCTCCTGTTTGTAGGCTCCCTTTAAGTACTGAAAGGCTGCAGTGAGGTCACCCTGCAGCCTTCTTTTCTCCAGGCTGAACAAGCCCAGCTCCCTCTGCCTGTCTTCATAGGGGAGGTGCTCCCTGATCATCTCTGTGGCTCTCCTCTGGACTCTCTCCAACAGCTTTCTGTCTTGTTCTGGGGACTCCAAACCTGGACACAGTACTGCAGTTGGGTCCTCACAAGAGCAGAGGGGAACAATTGCCTCCCTGTCCCTGCTGTCCACCCCTCTTCTGATGGAACCCAGGATACCATTTGCTTTCTGAGTTGCAAGAGCACGCTGCTGGCTCATGTTAAGCTTTTCATCCATCAGAGCCCCCAGGTCCTTTTCTGTAGTGCTGCTTTCAAGACCACTCCTTCCAGTTTGTATAGATGCCTGGGATTCCTCTGCCCCTTGTACTTTGCTGTGTTCAACCTCATTAGGTTCATCCGGGTCCATCTTTCAAGCCTGAGGTCCCTCTGAATGACATCCCTTCTTTCCACCATTTCAACCACACTATTCAGCTTGGTGTCATTAGCAAACTTGCTGAAGATGCACTCGATTCCATCATCAATGTCATTGATAAAAACCTTAAAGAGCACCAGTCCCAAGACAGACCTCTGGGGGATGCCACTTGTTATTGGCCTTCACCTGGACATAGAACCATTGATGACCATCCTGTATCTGTGGCCTTTCAACCAATTTCTTATCCATCGAGTGGTCCACCCATCATGGGATCGTCAGTTTAAAAAGTAAAAATAAAAAATACTGAACTTCTGCAGGCTTGGGTAGGAAACTTTTCTTCTGTGAACTTTTCACACAGCAGGAAATGGTAGTATTCCAAAATGCTTGCTTTTTTGGCTTCCATCACAGCTTCAATATTAATAACTTCTCTTGAAAGGAGAATGTCAGGATGTGAGTTTCTCACATTACCTAGGATACTATATATATACTATATACGTATTTAAACAGGCATGTACTAATTACTTTAGATATTATTGCTGTGTTACTGAAAGCTGTTATAGTTCTCTGAATACTGAAAAGTAGAGACTCCTTCCTTTGTGCCCTGGGAGATAAATAAGTGTCTGCTTCTTGCTCTTAGCAGGAGTCATGTATTGTTTAGTCACAGTTGCTGGTTGCAGAAATGTTTAGGTCATGGGTATTTATGAATTCAAATACCAAAAAACCAAACTTGTTGTTTGTTGTTGTTGTTGGGTTTTTTGGTTTCTTTTTTTTTTTTTTTTTTTTTTTTTTAATTTACATCCATATTCTCATAGGAGCCACAGAGAGAACAGAAATTGTGGATTGAGAGTAGAGCATTGTTTAAAACTTCATGGATTGTTACCTGCATTTCAAGCTCTAAAATGTGAACAAGAAGTCATAAAATGAGGCTGAATTTCTATGATGTATTCATTCTTGTCTCTATCATGCAGGTTGTCAAAGTTTCCATAGTTTATGAAGATATTTGTCCTATAGCTTTTGCTTTTTCATAGAATTGAAACAAAACAAAAAAAAGTCAATGAATAAAAATATATTTGCTTAGAATTTTTAATTTCCTGTCGAGTAAGGTAAGAAATTAAATACATGACCTGATCTTCCATAACAGCAGATTTACAATGCAGTTGTATAACATAGAAATGAGTATATCTTGTAGCAGTATTGTGTCTTTAAAAAAAAAAAAAAAAGTGTTTAGCTAAGTAGCAGAATAAAGATCTCCTGTATTGTGGTTCTTGTAAATTATTGTAATGCTATAGAATGTCATTCTCATTTATTTATTTATTTACATACTTTTTTTTTTATAGTAGCAAGGTGGTTTTTCTTTTGCTTAATTGTGTCAGAATGCTTGTGCAAGCTCAAGACTTTATGCCATTACATTTGTATTTCAATATCCTTACTTACATATAATATTTTGATAAATAATACATTCTGTGTGACCACATATCTGAGGAAAGCATTCTCCTTAAATTTTCTGTATTGTCAGTGTGCCTCCTGATTCACAAAATTCAGTCATTCAATTCATTAATGTTAATTAATAACAAGATTCTTCACTAAATGTGGAAATTGCAACTACCTTACTATAAGGTAAATAAATAAATAAATTGCAAATAATTGCAGATAACTATTAAAATGTCGTGTTAGAGAAGTTATTATATAGTTGCTTATTTCGTTCACCTTATTAAAAGTAACATTTGGTTTCTTGAGTAATAAAGGTTATAGTGAGAAGCTCATAAAGATAG